TCACCTGGACACTCTTGGGTCCTATTTTCTCACCTGGATGCGCAGCAGCAGGGAGCGGTTTGCGCTCTCGTCTCTCCTCCATCTCTCGGGCCCTCTGCTGTTCTTTCTGCAGTTTAAGGATGTAATCCACCGACGCCTTCAGGATGGTTCCTTTGTTCCACCTTGTTTCCCTGAATGACCAATCACAGAGCACACCTCCTTAAGGTTCCTCTGGTGGTATAAGAGTTAGGAATCAGTGAATGAAATGTCTAATCAGTACTAACGGGTCCGAGGATTTGGGAATCAGTGCTCCGAGCTCTTTGATGCGGTCATTGATGTTGAAGCGTCGCCTCCTCTCAACTGGAAAACACAACAAAATGGTTTTAATGGGGTGACACAAACCCATTTCATCATATTTACAGCTGGTGTCTCCACTCCCTAGCCAATCAGTGACCAGCTCTCTTCTGATGTCACTACTGTAATTGTATCTAAGCAGGTACTGCATGTAGTACCGGTTCTATGAAAGGTTACTGCTTGGAAGGGATCCAGTCCCAACTGGTCCTGATGGAAAAGGACCAGCTGTGTCACTTCCTGTTTCAACACCAAATCCTGTGCTGTGATTGGCCGAGTGCTGCAGCAGTACTCACTCAAGTTATGATTGTCCTTCTTCTGCCGCTCCTTCAGCAGAGCTTTGGTTTCCACATCTACAGCAGAAGAAGAAGGAGAAGAAGAAGAAGAGAGGTCAAAGACGGGCGATGTTCCTCTGCTGCCAGCCGAACAGAGCCGGTTCTCCTTTCCATTGGACCGCTTCCTGGTCTCACTCTGCTGGTTTGAACTAACCAGCAGGTTAGCTACAGTAACTAGGTGGGATTTACCGGTCTGCTCCCGTTTGACTGCGTGCAGGTCGGCCGGGCAGCTGTTGCTAACGGTGATGGTGGGCGTGGCCATCCCTCCGTACATGTCCAGCATGTTCCCCGCCGTCGGCAGCTGCGACAGACCAATCAGAGGGCACCGTCAGTGATCTAACCCACAACAACCCACTGTTCCTGAACTGGAAGGTCATGTTCTCCTGAAGCTGAACCTGAAACTGGGAGCCGATCTGCACCACCATTTTGGATCAGAACCTGCTGATCCTTCTCCTTTGCTCTAACCACAGTTCCTGCTTCTGCCAACAGGGGGAGCTGCTAAGCTCACAGGTGCTGATCCTCCTGGTTCCACTCAGGAGCATCAGTCCAGATGGTTCTGAAAAGCGGCTCCGCTCCATCTCCCCGCCCCTTTACACCCCACACTGTTCTACTGGGACTCTGACCTTTAAACTGGCTCTGCTGCTGGTGAAAATCTCCCGATCCGCTTCCTGCCTGAGACCGTTTGTTTTTAAAGCCTGAAGTTCTGCTGACTGAAGCATTCTTTACTGACTCAGCTGCAAAACAAGGAGCCTAGAAACACAGATTTCAGCAGCAAAACCCAAAAACCGGCAGAACCCAGAGAATCAGCGTGAGAACGAGGCTGGAGGAGAAACAGCTGCGGCTCTGAAGGCACAACAAACTGCAGCATTTACCTGGGATTTAATCCTCCTCTTCTCATGATCCGGCAGCAACACCAAAATCCTCATGTTCCCTGCAGTTTCACACACCCTAACACACACACACACACACCTTAACGACACACACACACCTTAACGACACACACACTCCTTAACGACACACACACACCTTAACGACACACAGAGCGCCTGAGCTGCTGCTCTTCCCCTTTCTGCTCAGACAACTGTTAAAAAATGAGGAAACAAGTCCTTTAAGTCAGAACAGAAAACTCCCACAGCTTCATTATCTCCCTCACACACACGCTGAGGCTCCGCCCACTGAAAGAAGGAAGTGTGGAAAGCTGAAGTGATACTGTCCCATCCAGCTGCTAGCTGTTGACCACCTGAAGCTAACACAGTGACCCCCCCCCCCCCTTTACCGTGCTGGTGAGCTGCAGGCCAGAATCAATCAATGTGAGGAAATCCTCATTCAGGCTCGACTCCAAACTGATGATGTCATCGATGACGGTCTCCTCCATCTGGATCAGAACCACAGAAATACTGGTTATCCACAAGAAAGAGGGATGATGGATGGATGGATGGATGGATGGATGGATGAATGGATTATTGATGGATGGATGGATGGATGGATGAATGGATGAATGGATTATTGATGGATGGATGGATGGATGGATGAATGGATGAATGGATT